TGAGGTGACGACAGCGGCATTTCCATTTATGTGTTGATTGGGCTAATTTGCGGTTAACCGTTTTCTGGCAAAAGACTCCAATAATAAAATGAATTGCTCCTTTTTTTCCCTCTCTATAGAAACCGTTCCGTCATCTTTACGTCATCTGGTTGGTTTGTGTATCCATGTTGTGTGCTCTTCATTTTGTCGATATTCGTGAAATTCCTCTTGCCACTTACATTTTTTTATGTGCATTGCTTCAAATTAACGATAAAAAAAATTAGATATGATTATGTTTAGAATGACCGCGCATAAGATCCCATGTCTATAATTTCGCATCGTTCTTTTTTCTGTTGTTGTTCTAATCGATAAAAAGAAAGAAAGTTGAACAAAGATAACGGTAAATTCTTTTTTTTTGCTATTTGTTGCCCATTTAAAATACAGATGCTTTTTAAAGGAATAAAATGTGCCAGGGGCACCACGGTATTTTCCATTTTTTCTTGCTTTATACTGTGATCGAACAACAGATAAAAATAAGGAGAGAGAGAAAAAAAAGTCGGCAAACGCTCTTGCTTTCTTCAGATTGGAATTTCTCAAATGAATATCTACGTTAAAGTGTTTGCTCTCTCTCTATCTCCCGTTTATGCTCGGAACATCAATTTGGATATGTTCGATGCAATTTCTTCTTCTCATTTCATATTTCATGCTCTCGGCTCGAGTTGGTATTCGCATACAAGAAATTGCATTGCGAATAGGTCAACCGTAATGCTCCAGTAAATAGATGACGTATGTTGATCTTCAAGCAACATGGAATGTTCAGAATGCAAAGCAACCACTGTAATAAATCAGACAAACAGACTAGAGTAATGCTGAAGTGTCAGAAAGCGAACAAAAAATGGAGCGTCGAGAATTTTGTTTGGTTGAAAGTGAAAGTAAGAATTTTATGTACTACTTCATAGAGATGTAACGTAGTAGTAGTAGCAGCAGCCAGCAGTCGGGCGAATGCAATCTGAGCGAGCGAGTTTTTGGCGTCAATCGAAAACTACGTTTGCATGCAAGCCAAGATCAAGAACGTCTTGGAGCAAATATACACACATAACGTGTGGCATACAAAACATTTCAGTGGCTAAATCAACGTATATATTGCCGAAAAGGGCAGAAATATCGATTCACAGCTTCGTCATCAGCACCAGCACCAGCACCAGTACACACACAAGTACAAGCAGCTGAAGTAAGTGCAATACGATAAACGACAATGGATAAATTTCGCATTGTATACATTCGGTTGATACTGATGTGAATACATAATATGCAAGTGAAATCCGAACTTTATATAAAGACGTTAAGCGTACGAAACCATCTCAACACCGTGAGAGAAAATATCTCTGTGCTGTCTCCGTTCTTTGGTAAAGCAGCTATTGTTATTATTGGTGTTGGCTGGTGTTGTTGTTTCGAAATAGCATCGTGGCGACGTCGACAAAACATCCACTTTTTGTTGAAAACAAAGTTGGTGTATGTTACCCATGGCTAGACGTTGTGCCAGACGAATTTTATGTACACCAAGCACTCGCTTTTCTTATAGCACATATTCCAAAGTGTTTACAGTTACGCTTGGCTTTTGCCTTGACTCGACACGATTCAACTCAATTCTCTCTTACTCTAGACAATGTACGACATTTCTGAATGGATGCAATGGTGGTATATGTGAATGCTTCTTATGTCGTATACCATTTGTGGTGTGCCGTTTTGCATTGGCCTTCTTCGTTTTGCTTACACATTCACTTTAGTCTCAGTCGGCAATCGATGTTGAATGGCTTATGTGCGTCTGTGTCTGTGTTTATGTGCATGTTTGCATTCAAGAACATGCGGAACACATTTTCGTTATGATGTGTAAACAATTTGCAATGGTCGATATACAGTGCACATAAATTTGGTTGTTATCTTAGGGGAAGTTTAACTCGTCTCTATATCAGACGCTCTCTCTATCTTAAGTATTTTCGTCAATAAACTGTGTAAATAATGGTTTCAACACGCGTAACACCATATAAAACGTGAGTGAAACAATAGAGGTGACCTAGTGTGACATGTTGTACTCTATTATCACCGCCCAAAATTGTATGGTGTCGATGAACAAATGGTTTGTGCTAACCCAATATTAGGCACAAGCAAATGAAATTTAAACCAATGCCTTCGGATCCGGGTTCAAGGTCAACCATTTCGCTTCTCATACATTACACCATACGATATATGGTTGATCTATCGGTATTTATCGATTTTTAATCAATCAACATTTTCTTATACATTTGACAATGAATCACAAACCTAAGAATGTAACACCTTGCTTCCAATCGCCGAACGAACGGGTTGAAATTTGCAATGGATTATGAGACACATTCCATTCAAATGAACACATCCCGATTTGGTTCAAAGTCAAGGAAACCTGAATCGATAGATATTTCATTTCTATTATATCAATCAATATCTGCAATGCTTACCGACAGCTTCAGTTCACAAGATCACATCACATGGATTTTATTATTAGTCTGACACCAGCAAGGGAGTTAACAAGCTGTGAGCGATGTGGTTGCATCAATAAAGCGACGGACAATTTAAAATATTCATCAAGAGTCCTTCATATCAGGCGAAAAAGCAATGATACCGCATTTCTCGACGACCGAGAAAATAATATATAATTATAATTAAGGTATAATATTTGCAAAGTATTACTACGCGCGCAGAAACACATACACATTCAATCCGTAGAGTATAAAAAGTCAGCGTGCACATCATTAGCATTGAATATAGAAAAATAAACTTCGCATGAGAGAATAACATTAATTTTGTTTTTCGTTTTATTCCAACTAAATAATTTACACCAATACAAACGTGTGCAAACTTGTAATTTTCTGCTAAATATGGATATGAAAAAAAAGAACGCTTCTTGTTCACCTGAACTCATGCTCTTGTTTGGTTATGACCCCATTTTTATTCATCGCTCCTTTGCTAACGTTCCGCAACCAAATACATTGTAGTTGGTCCGATGGACGCTGAAATCAACTTTTCAATGTTATTTCATTAAAATTATTTGTAAACACAAAATCGAAATTTCGTTTGAATTCACCTTATTGTTTTTGCTATTGTAGCACAAAAGATACACAATTGTACTTACTTAAAGTGAATGCGCATTTCGAAACGCTCAACGGACGTTCATCATCAGCACTGACACGACTCTCGGTTTTTGCCGGTGATTTGTGATATGAAAAAACGACAACACACCAACACAACGCAAAAAAAAATCGAGAGTCGTGTCAGTGCTGATGATGAACGTCCATTGAGCGTTTCGAAATGCGCATTTACTTTAAGTAAGTACAATTGTGTATCTTTTGTGCTACAATAGCAAAAACAATAAGGCGATTTCAAACGAAATTTTGATTTTGTATTTTGTGTTGACAAATAATAAGTGTTTTTGCGTGTTCAGTTAAAATGTCATTCGTGATAAAAATTATTGTTGTTCATTAACATTATTGATATGGAAAAAATATATATATAACACACACACACACACACACACACCAATTCAATAACAATTATGAAATTCGGAAGAATGTTCAGCACAAGGGCAAAACAAAACTTGGTTCAACATTATTATTAATTTTGATTAACGCACTTTCCGATTTCTGCTCTTCGGTATGTTGTATTAATTCGGCCCATTTTTGCACATCACATCAATTTCTAAATTATACGAAATTGTGTGTAGGGAATCCCTACTAGGGATACAACCATTTGATTTTACACACTGTATTTTCTTGATGGCACTTCGCAAATTATTGCTCAGAAACAGTGGAGGTATAGAAAAAGGAAAAATTTCAATCATTCTGAAATAAAAATGCTCATCTGGAATGTGTGGTAGTGTAACCGCTTGTACTGACATTTGTTTCAAAAATATAGGAATTCAATTGGTTTGTACATACACTAGGTTTGTTCATTGCCGGAATGAGACTTGTAAATAATGCTGAAAAGCAAGCACAGTTCTACCAACCAAACAATGTTCATAACGAGCACAAAATATTCAGGATTGTGATTGAACTGTGTGCATCAAATACAAATCAATACATACAGACGTTCGCCTCACTTTACGTACCGCAAACCGTTTGCTTATTGCTTGTTCGGCAAAGCCAGTGCGCAACACACCCATAGTACGTGCTACATACACACACAGTTAGAACACACAGGCCGAGCGGAGAGTTACACACGCATACAGTAAGAACAATGAAATGAAAACAAGTGCGCGATAGACTCATTGTCTGTGTTTGAAACGTGTCTGTGTTTGAAACGTGTCTGTGTGTCTGTGTGTGTGTGTGTGTGTTTTTCTAAGTTTACTGATGCAAATATTTTTTTTTTAATAAACAGTGTGTTCAGAAATGGAATTTACAATTTTATTCTAACTTTTTTTCATTAGAAGATGTTCACGGATCATTTTGTATTGAAAAAAAGTTAGACGATTTTGTTTGTGGCGATGTTAGCGATTCAAGCGGCATATGATGGCACATGATAGCCTTTTAAATTTTATTACAAATGTCATGATTCAATTCGCATTAGCCTTTGCTTGTTTGTCATAAACATGGTTTTGAAATTATTCATCTCAATAACAACATCGTCACTGCGGTGTTTGTGTATATATTCTTTCAATGCGCCGAAGAAACAGAACGACGTTTCATGTCAACCAATACACACACAAGCGCATGTATTGTTTCTCACAGTATTGATGAGCATAAATATATTGAATCAGTCACAGTGTTGCCAACCAATTGTCAAACCGGCACGTAATAAACACAGTGTATGTACAAATAAATGATTAAATTTATTAAAAAAACATTCCGAAAATAATGGCTTTAATCCGCATAATGACACAACAGTTGCAGAACATTTTTAATTGCTTTTCAATGTCAAAACCATCATGTTACACATTTTATTTGTCAAGTATTGTTACATTTATGCATTAATAACATTGACATAAACCGCCTCAATCAGAATAAACACGTGTTCTACAGTATCATATTATTTATTTATATTGCTATGTGCAAATACATGAAAAATGTTGGCAATAATGTGAATGTTTCATTTAGTTTCACTTGAAAAGTTGTGAGCGGTGAAATAGCAAATCCACCGTTTTGTATAGCACATTTTTTATTGGATCTTGACATTCTGCCGCCGCAATTAGTGCTCTGATTGAATCATATTTCCCATATGCAAATTCTCTGTACAATTCAAGCATGTTCATATCAATAAAAAGCTGTTTGACACGATTGATACATTCAGAATCTAAAATACAATATCAATGAGAAAAAATGAAGTAAATGAGACCATTTTTCTATGCGTTGAAAATGAATGTATGATTCGAACCGTTTTTTCCATAGTTTTCAATCATAATTTGCTTTTGTTCATCATTAGCACGTCGCATGCATGTGACGGCTAACCAGGAACACTTTCCGATCTCAATATCATGCGTCGTTTTCTGAAGGACACCATCAATATCGAAAATATCCAACACATCATTTTGGCATTGGTGATAGTGTCCCATTTCATCACAAATGTGTTTAATTGATTCGCGGTTATCATAGCTGAAACAGAATCGTATCATATTAGATATCAAATTGATGATAGTTATTCTTTTGTCTGGTCAATTCTCTGCTGATGCAGTTACCCGGTGAGTGACATCAACATCGACATTGGTGTATAGAATAGAAAATTTGAGGTTATCACCACTTGTGCGGGATACACAATCTCCAGGGAATAATCGCTTACTTTGCCCAAACCGATAAAATCCATTGCTTGGCCCATATGCGTGGAAAATACTCCTTCGACAATGTACTCAAATAACTCCGAATAACAGGCAAGATCACTGCAGTGGTTCTTAAGAATGAAGTAACCACTATGAATGATCAGAATATAATCACTCACAGCAAAATTTCCAATGTCTTCCAATGTATGCCAACATCGACGACCCCGACGTACTAAAATAATAAAGTGAACAAGAAACCCGATTGCTTGCTGATATCAAGAATGAAAAGAAAAAAACTCGAAAATGCAATTATACAAACCAACACCACCGTCTATTATGTCATCGTGGATGACAATTACTGTATTGACCTAAGAAAGAAATTAATCGGAACCACATAGAATACATACACATGGCATTATGAAACTATCAAGCAACACTTGAATCCATTCCACGAATTTGTGCCAATTTGTGCGTCGAAGTGACATTTTTGTATTTCAAATGATCATTTTCTGCATATTCTTTGTAAGAATTTCTTACCAGCTCAAGTGCCCAACAAATCATATAAAGTTTATACATTTTTTCGGGTGTCTGCTCGCTTTTGTCCATCAAATCTTTGTAGCCCAAGATCACTTGCATAGGACGAAATTGCTTGCCGTTTGGCACATTATATTGAAGAGCCTTCAAATTATGTATAAATGTGATTCTACAGACATATAAACTGAAACTACAATCGAATTCACTCACCCGATCAAAATATTCAGCGGTCTTTTTGTTTGTACGTTTCTCAATGAATGTGAATATTTCGCGTTTTACATCTACAAAATTGGTTTGAATAGGAGAAAGACTGAAAATTCAAATAGAAATCAAACCTGGAAACACTGCGTTAAACTTCCGATATTCTTCTTCTAAATCTGGTCTTAATTTTGCTGTGAAAGTTTTAAAAATATTCAAATCTTTCCTACAAAAAAAAAATGGTGTTATATGCACACTTGACACAGATGATATATTTATTCTACCTGTCGCTAATCTGTTCCTTATTTTTAGCAGCGCAGCCAATTGAAAACGACTTATAGGGGTTACTTATAAGAATTAATTTCTTTGCAAACACAATGATTTTATTCGATTTTGAAAACATTTTGAATGAAAACACTTCTTGCTTCTTAGAAAGACTTTTGGCGAAAACAAGCACATCATTGTGGACTTATATTTAAAGCTGACGTTTATCTTTTGAAAGGAAAAGAAGCGCAGCGATTCACATGTCTAGAGATATCGTCCTGAAAATTGATCTAATCAGTGCATCTATACCTTATTTATTAATGGTCAATGTCGTTAAAAAACACTTTTAAAATTGGCGGCTCTTTTGATGTTTGTTTATTGCACATTAAATGCTCGTGCAGAGAAATTTGCAATACGATTCGAAAAGAGCTTGACATTGGGGGCTATCAAGGGGAAAAACAAAAAAAGACAAATCGGCAATTATTGAAAATAATTCAAGTGTAATGGAAATGTCAAATAACCTCATGCAGCTTGGCTTCATTTCCTCCACTTCCATATGTTTGCAATGATGTTTGAACTTTGACAAGCAAGCTTCTACAATGGAAATTAAATGTGAGTGGAGACGCCACAAAAATGACTCCAAAAACGTCGATTAATGATCGAACTACTTTCAAGTGATTTAAACCTTCACGGTTCGAAATCTACGCACACATATCTTGAGCATACACCTCGTATAAGAACCAAATTTTCTTGTGGCGCCATCTAGATGGCTTGCGGGGCGCAATGTATTTTAAATTGTTGGCTAAGTTTTTTCAGCTTAGTACAGAACTATTTTTGGCAAAGATACAAAAGCATGCTCGAGGTATGTACGCACACATCTATACGATTTTCAGTAGAGTGGAGCGGGCTATACGATTTTACGTATAGTCTGATGTTTAGAAGCGGTTTTTGCGGAGAAACATATATTCCGCGCTTGTTTAGTTAACTACGCATCTTTCAACGCTACAGAATGTATATTTCTCCGCAAAAACCGCTTCTAAACGTCAGACTATACGTAAAATCGTATAGCCCGCTCCACTCTACTGAAAATCGTATAGATGTGTTCGTAGATTTCGAACCGTGTTCCCTCCCGTAAGTTAGAATATATGCAATGCCCATTTCTGTTGATGAGATCCAAAGTAGCCCAAATTAAAATTTAGTTCCATGAATTCTTTGGACCTTTTTAATTCCAGCTCGTAAGAAATACCAAAAAATACATAAGCTACCATAATTGATAGATGTATGTATGTGTTTATTCAATTTATCGCAAATAATGTCAAATCTTTTCTAAGAATCGGAAAAAAAACTTATCGATTTTTATTCCCCGTTCAAGAACTGAAATTGTTTTTACAATATTTATTCATTGAGTTTCTTCCACTTTTTTGTCATTTTTGTCATTTTTGAACAATTGAATGGCCCAGTGTTTAAGGTAGAAGATAGTACTAGGTTCACATTCAATTGACTTTAAACCTTTTTCCTTGACTGATAATTGGTTATCAATAACAAATTAACGCTATCGAAATCTAAAATTATCAAAAGCACTTACCTTAGTAGGATTAATATTTCAATTAAAATAAATCAATATATACTTTAAAATGTTACCCTCTCATCCATATGGTGTAATAAACATTGTGTGTGTGTGTCGTTTTTCGGAATTATTATCGAAATAATTATCGACATTCAATCAAGTATATAAGCCAGAAACATTACCATGAACATAAATGATTTAATTGGAAGTGGCTGTGACGTGAATAAGGTATTTATAAGGTTGTATGTATTGTACCTATCAATGGATTTAATCGAATTGATTCAACGCAATTGGCCCCAATATATTTTGAATTATTATTAACAGAAGTGTTACGATTCGGATAGAACTTCTAAAAATATAGCAAACGATTCAAGTATCGAGTATATGTTTTCTTTTTTCTTGCATTTGTTCCAGTCCACAAAGATTATTTATTTCATTTGAAATTATCAACACTGAAAATATTCTTTGGTCCAGTCACCGTATAAAGTGAACAATGGTAATAGTATTCGTGTTAGAAAAAAAAACGACTGACAGTTGACTTTAGTTGATTGAATTTATGTTTTTGTACTAAGAAAATCACTTTGTCCCAAATTAAGTAACTTACATTGACTTGTAACTTGTTATAGGTTCAAATGAAGATTCTACTAGTAGAACAACACTAGTATCAAAATAGCTATCTTGAGCTTTTCAGAGTTCTTGAAATAGTTTCAATAGTAATTGTTCAACAAAGAATAACCACTATAGATTCGGTATGACCACAAATGTACAATTTCACAATACTCGTCTGTGCATTCGATTCAAGTATGCCGCATAGGCAATGTACATTCATTTGCGATGGGTGGCGATTAAATGGCCGTTCTCACTTTCAATGTTGGCACAAATCGCTGGATATTATTGACATTTGAATTGAATCGGATAAATAGGCACACACAAAAGCAAGTAGTTAAACTTTATCGCAAGTCGGGATAAACCATACATTTATAGGTGCTAACATCCACTTTTGGGATAAATTTCATCGCACTTGTATATGTAACACCATTCAAACGTATATTTTATCCCGACTTGCGATGACGTTCAACTACTTTTGACAATTTACTTTTGTGTGTACGGAAAAAAAAATACACGTGTATGCTACCGGCGAAACAATACGAAATTGTATCGATTCAATATGATGATGATAATTTAATGACGCAAAATAATTGATATTTATTTACATAATTACGACCATATGTTGACATTTGTTTGCACCGGCATATCAATGTTGACAATACAAGTATTTCCGATGTTTTCATGCTATTTTTTCACACTTTTTTCTTCTTCTTTATATTCATAATAAGCTAATGTTTTTTTTCTCGATTCATTGTGACTGTTGTTCATGGTAGTTTCACAAGTGTAGGCTCAGTGTTTTTCTTTCACATTGTTTCTCTCGAAAATTCTCATGATTGCTTATTGTTGACACGATGTAAAGCCATTAGCATCCATATCAATATAAATGCTTTTGCTCCGTTATATTTTTTCAAAGATTTAGAACCGAAAAAAAAACAATATAGATCATCAAATCAAAGCAAATTGAAATGTCCATAGAAAATGAATAAATGCCGAAAAATTGGATGATTTTATAAATAACACAAGGGAAAAAAAGAAACTTGTAAAAATTACGAGTTCGTTTATCAAATGCATGACAATTTGAATGGTCGACAAGTTTCTTTTTTTATGGAAACGATGGAAACTATTTCAGTATCGTACCGACATTATTATGTAACAATGTTTTCAGTGTTTATAATTTAGAATGTAGTACAAATACAAAAAATATTCTGAATGGAACAATGAATTTTTTTGTTGTGAGAAGAGAAAAAAAAACAATTTGAAACAATTTGAAATTCTAACAACATGTAATAAAAGTGATTCGAATTTAGCAGAAGCGAGTATCAACATCCGGATCGATATTTCAAAATAGATTGCTGCTGTATGTTTATGTTATTTAATCGTAAAAATGAGCAAATTAGACAAAAATTGGAAAAACACACAACAGTGGAAAAATACCTAGATTCAAACAAACAAACTGTCAATAAAATTCGAAGGAACTTATGTTTTTTTTTCCCTTCTTCAAAATCGATTGAGAACACTTATTAATGCGCTATTAAATACATGGCAATCGTCTAAATTAAAGCCCGAGAATGCGAGCGACATTTCGGAATGAATTGAATGTCGTTCGAAACATGCCACCGGAAAGGAGCAATCGACGTTGCTTCACAACAAGTAGATAAAACAAAGTGTTGTGGAATTCTGATACCGAAAAAATGTCGAAGAACGTGTATGTTTGTCGTGTATCGTCAATTTTTCGAACGAATGCCATAATTGAGGTCGTTATCGCATGTACTGAAGCTTTTCAATCAGGCGCTTCTTGAATCAAATTAAATGCCATTCAGAACGAGGTGACTAGTTTGCGAAAGAGCGAGAGAGCGAGACACGAACTGTGAGGTGTGCATTTTCGATTTGGCATCAAAACAGACAGTCCAGAGAATATAAAGGAATGCGCAAATATTTCCGAATAAACAACGAGACCGGATATTTGATTATTTGAATGCATTAAGCCCGAAAATTTATTGCAAAACTCATTGTTTTAATTCAATTATTGACGGAGTTCATGAAATTGCATTATCGTCGTCGTAGTCGTAGCCGTAGTTGTCATCATCATCATTGTCGCCGTCGTCGGTTGCTATCAAAATAATCTTGTTTTTTCTCCGATTCAGCAGCCCGACCACTGTTTGTGTTGCTGATTAGTTTTGTGTTTTATTTTGTTCACTTGCTATTTCGGTTTTCGTGCATGTGTCGATTTACGTTTTGGAGTCTCTCGTATGCCCAACATAATGAGATATGCAGAGATATTTCGTGGAATTCAACGAATTCTAACGAAAAGTTTTCTCGCCCGAGAATGAATACATTCGAGACAATAACCAATAATACGCGCATAATCATCGAATATTTTCGTTGTTGGTGCGGCAAATCATCATCGCACATCGTTTTCCACATGCAAAAAGGTAAAAGGAATGGATACGTGCATGAGTTTTGATCAATTCTTCTCACATTGTGCGTATGCCGTTGATTGTGCCTATTTGTATCTGAGTGCCATCACATGCATTTCGTCTCGATTCTACTCAAACTCCCGTCACTTCAGTTGTATAACAGCAGCATCAGCATCAGCATCAGCATCAGCATCAGCAGCAGTTGAAGTAATTTACCCAGCATACATAACTTTCGTCAACGAAGCCACCCAATATTTAACATCTCTACAGATAATTTATAATATTTATAAATTTCGGTTTTAGATTTCACTCTCGAAACATTAAATACGAACGGATCGAAGAACCAAAATTATTCGATTTGTGCCTACGGATCGTCATTTTCGGTTCGAATCCACCACATTTATATATGGATACATATATAGAAATGCATGTTGTTGTGCATCGGATTTCGGTGTGCAAATTCGCATAATAAAATTTATATATGTACGGTACGTATTTGTTTGAGAGATTGCACCATGGCCATGGGATGAGTGTATAAGAGATACTCAGAGTGAGAGCGAGAGGGAGAGAAAGAGAAAGAGACACATACACAATTGAAATGAAT